CATGTGTGACCCAATCTTGAGAATCTTGAAAATACTACCCACAATGCTAATGTGCACCCAAGGTTGAAAGCCACTGGCCTAGATAATGTTTAAGATACCTTCACTCTTAATATTCTATAGTTCTGAGATTTCTTGTTCTGTAGTAGTTAAGAGTACAAATTCTGGAATTGACTGCTGAAGGTTGAATCCTTTTTCCTTACAACAGTTGTATCTATGGTAAATTACTCAATCTCTTTAATCCTCTATTTCTTCATATGTGAAAATCAATACAATTTTGCTTCATAGCTAAAAATTTAAAACCTTTATTTTTAGAGTAGTTTTAGGTTCACAGCAAAGATAAATGGGATCCACATACTTCCTATATATGCACTGTCCCACACACACAGCCTCTCCCACTATTGATGTTCTGCACCATTTGGTACAATTGATAAACTTACATTGACACATCACCATTACCCAAAGCCCACAGTTTACATTAGAGTTCACCCTTGTGTTGTACATTCTATGGGTTTTGACAAATTTGTAGTGACATGTGTCCAACATTATAGTATCATGCAGAGTAGTTTCACTACCCTAAACATTCTCTGCTTTCTGCCTATTTATCCCTCCCACTCCCCTGACCCTGGCAACCATTTTACTGTCTCCATACTTTTACCTTTTTCAGAATGTCATATAGTTGGAATCAGACACTATGTAGCCTTTTCAGATTAACTTCTTTCACTTAATAATTTACATTAAGTTTCCTCCATGTCATTTGAAGGCTCAAAAGCTAATCTCTTTTTCAGCACTGAATCATATTCCATTGTTTGGATGTACCACAGTTGATTTATCCGTTCACCATCTAAGGATGTCTTGGTTCCTTCCAAGATCTGGCAATTATGAATAAAGCTGCTAATAGTACCTTTGTGCAGATTTTTGTGCAGATATAAGTTTTCAGTTTGTTTAGGTAAATACCAAGGAGTGTGACTGTTGGATTGTATTTAGAAAAACCTAAAGACTACCAGAAACTCTTAGAACTCATAGATGAAGTTAGTAAAATTGAAGACTATAAAGTCAACATACAAGCTGGGCATGGTGGCATGTGGCTGTAGTCCCAGCACTCAGGAGACTGAGGTGGGAGGATCGCCTGAACCCAGGAGTTTGAGAGCAGCCTGGGTAACAGAGCAAGACTTCTGTTGCTTAAAATAAGTAAAAAACTATTAGCACATCTGTATACTAACAACAATCGATCTGAAAAAGAAATCAAGAATGTAATCTCATTTATAGTACTCACAAAAAACAAATACCTAGGAATGAACTTAACCAAAGATATGATAATGTTATGAAGCTTTTAATACATAACCCTGCATATAGTAAGTGCTCAATAAATGATAGCTATTTTCTTTCTAATCACCTGTTTTCTCCTTGGTATGCAGATTTTGGAAGGAAAGAGAGTGAATTTCATATTAGAGGGTAAAACATAGGATTTTATCTGGCCTGTTATATACCTGAAGCCAGTCTGCATTGTTTTAACAGAACCTTGACTTTGTAAGTGGTAAGCAATAGAAAAGACCTGCTAGGAAAAAGAAGCTGCAGAGAGGGATAGCTGACTATAAGGTGGGGCCTGGTGCTCTCTTGGGTCAAAGACTGATGGGAAAAGTGTAGGAAGAGAAGTCACTTTGGGTGTTGGGAGCTGTGCATGCCTGTGCACACATGTGCACACTCCTGGGAGTGTAGAATTCATGTCTGTTTAAGTGTAATTCTCTATGTGTCAGGAAGCAGAAGATCATGAGAGGGGGAATTCTGAGGAACTAGGGAAATGAAGAAAGAAAAGCACATGAGAACAAAAGAGACATTCTTTTTTTTGTTCTCCCACTTTCTTCCTTCCTTTACCACCCACGGAATCTTAGCTCATTTTTATGGACTCCCATGTGTATATTGTTTCTTGGCCACTGTTGGAAGAATTGGGGAAAATATAGGCTTTTAAAAGTCTGGGATAGTTTTGAAACCATAGACCTGTGTAACCAAACTTTATTTCCTTCCTTCCTTCCTTCTCTCCCTTTTTTCTTTCTTTTTCTTTTCCTTCCTACATTAATTGAAAGCCAGGCTCATTTAGTACTTAAAATGTTTCTTGAATTAATACATTAGACTTTGGGTTTACAGAGGCTTAAATGGAAAGGGAGGGCTTGCACCCTTGAGAAGCTTATAATTTTCAAATTTTGGTATTGGACCATTTCATTGGATTGGTACTACGATGGCTCATTTTCCTCATTTAGTCTATTACAATGATTCTCACACTTTAGTGTGCAATGGAATCACCTGGAGGTCTTGTTAAATCTCAGATTTTTTCAAATGATGGGATTAACAGAAAAAAATAATAAAGCTCAGATTTCTGGACCCATCTCCAATTTCTGACTCAGTAGGTCTGATGCAGGGCTTGAGAATTTGTATTTCTAGGAAGTTCCCAAGTGATGCTTATGCTGATGGTCCCTGGATCATGCTTTGAGAATCACGGATCTACTAGGATGCTCTCCATTTTTCTCAGTGAGAAGACAGAAGCTGTATTAGTTATTTGAACAGAGAGAATATACTACAAGGAATTTTAAGCTAGGTATAAAGTTGTTAACCTGAAAGTAAATGAGGTTTAAAGTTCCATGAAGGGAGAAATTGTGGGAAGCACCTGCCACCTCCTGGGACTCATAGAAAAAAAAAAAAGAAGGGAAAATGTCTGGACTATTAAACCTTCTGAAACTTTAAGAAGCTGAAACTCCGATCTCTAAAAATCTCTCCTGTTCTGGTATCCTGGGGGTAGGAGTGTGATGAAGCTTGTCCTGCAAGTATTGGAAAAACTGCAAAGTGAATTTATCTGCTGCTGCCAGGAGGTACTGCAGCTATTGGGGTGGAGATGCAATGCTGTGGTGATTCTCACAAGAGCAGAAGGCAAAAAGAAGGAACCAGTCCTTTCTTACTTCACCAGTGCAGCTTCTCTATTGCCTCCTATTTTGTAGAACCTAACAATGGATGCAGGTGGCCAAAAAGAAACATGGCTTGCAACACCTCAGCTCAGAGTGTGGTAGGCTGGGTTTGTTGCTGAGAAACATGCAAAAATACTAGAGTACCAGTCCTTTAAATTGCTGTGCTTTGTGAGAAGCTGACTTTTTTGAGATGATTTATCAGGAATCAGCTGAAAACTGGTTTAAAATAATAACTTTGAAAAAGTATAGTAAAGTTAAAGGCTAACTACTTGATTTTAAGACTCCTTATTAAATGAAGAGAATCAAGAGAGTGTAATATTGACATTAAGATAAACAACATATCAATGGAACAGAATGGCGAATCTAGAAATAGACACACAGAATGACAAACAATTTTGACAAAGGTGCAATGGCAATTCAGTGGAGAAAGAATCCATCAACAGATAGTATTAGAAGAGTTAGATTCATATGTTAAAAAAAAACAACCTTTTGATTGATACCTTGCATCATTAACTGAAAACAGATCATAAATCTAAATCTAAAATTTAAAACTATAAAACTTCTAGATAATAGATAGGAGGAAATCTTTGTGATTTTAGGTTAAACAAAGATTTCTTAGATATGCTATCAAGAGCATAGTCCATGAAAGGAAAAATGATGGATTTCATCAAAATTAAAATATTTTAATCTGCAAGCTGGGCACAGTGGCTTACACTTGTAATCCTAGCACTTTGAGAAGCCAAGGCGGGAGGATTGCTTGAGCCCAGGAGTTTGAGACCAGCCTGGAGAACGTGGTGAGACCTCATCTCTACAAAAAAGTATAAAACTTAATGGGGCATGGTTACATGTGCCTGTAGTACAGGCTACTTGGGAGGCTGAGGTGTGAGGATGGCTTGCGCCTGGGAGGCGGAGGTTGCAGTGAGCTGAGATCACAGCACTGCACTTCAGCCTGGGCAACAGAAAGATACTATCTCAAAAAGCAACAATAAAACCCTTTTGAAATTGAAAGTCACTGGTGGGAGACTCTGCTAAAAAGATAAGCCACAGGAAAAAATATTTGTAGAGCACATGTCTGATAAAGGGCATGCGTCCAGAATGTATGAAGAATTTTCAAAATGAAATGATAAGAAAACAAACAACTAAGTTAAAAATTGGGCAAAAGATTTGAACAAGCCCTTCACCAAAGAAGATATACAGATGACAAATAAGCACATAAAAAGAGGAACATCATTTATCATTAGGGAAATGTAAATTAAACCACAATGAGATATCACTATATAGCAATTAGAATGTCTAAAATTATAATAAATATACTAACCATACCAAGTGTTGCCTAAAATGTGGAACAACAATATATAATTTTCATATACTCCTGATAAGAGCATAAAGTAGTACGACTATTCTGGAAAACAGATTGGCAGTTTCTTAAAAAAGATAGACACATACATCTGCTCTGCAATCTAGCCATTCCACTGCAAGGTATTTTCTCAAGAGAAAAGGCAGCATATGTCCATATAAAGACTTGCACCTGAATGTTTATATTGACTTTATTTATAATAGCCCCAAACTGGAAATGACCCAAATGTTCACATACAGAAGCACAGATATGAAGTATGAGTGTTCATATCCATATAATGGAATACCTGTCTACAATAAAAAGGAATGAACTCTTGATACATGGTTCAGCATGAAAGAGTCTCAAAATAATTATGCTAAATAATAGAGGCCTGATGAAAGAGTGTATACTATGTGATTCAATTTATTTAAAAAATTCGAGAAAGTATAAACTAATGTTAATGACAGTTTATATCAATGGTTGCTTGGGGATGATGAGGTCAGGGCAGGGCAGGTGGGAGAGATAACAAAAGAGGGTACCAGGAAACTTTTAGTAGTGATGAATGTGTTCATTATCTTGAGTGTTGTGGTGGTGTTATGGGTATACAGATATGTCAAAACATAGAAATAGTGTGATTTAAGTATATGCAGTTTATTGTATGTCAGTGATACCTTATTAAAGCTATTTAAAAACTGTTTTGTTACCACAGTGCTAAATTCAAATGAAGAATTCAAATGGGGGACAAGAGGTTGTGTTTAGGTATGTCCATCTCTGCTGCTTGAGAGGCTCAGGGTAAGAATAAAAGTGTAGGCTCATAACCTGCACATAACCTCACTCATTTTTCTTCCCATCCTTTCCATTCATGTCTCTGCTTAAATATAACCTTTTCAGAGAGACCATTGATTAACATAATATCACTTTCTCCCTTACCTTGCTTTATTTTTCTTTACAACACTTAGCAATATCTTATATTATATCTCAAGGGTATTTGTTATTCAGCTATAGTCTGTATCACCCACTACAATTTAAGTTCCATGAGGTCAGGGACTTTACCTCTTTTGTTTAATGATGTGAATATTATGAGTAAAAGAATGAAGAAATGTAATAATAAGTACATGAATGCTTTTGGAGTTACAATTTATCACACAATATTGTATCGACAGTGGTTCCAGTCACTTCAATGACATGTTTGAACCACTACTCCTGAGAAAGTAGGTAGCATAGGAATTTTTGTAGGATGGGATTCCATCAACTGGGAACTATCCTGAAGGCTTTTAGGAAATGAAAGTTTCCCTGACTTCAAATATATTTGCTGCAACTCATCTTGATTCATTATTATAGATTGTGATGGTGACTAACTCCTATAGTAAAAATAAATAGAAGTAGGGGCTGAATAACCTCTGAAGATATTTCTGTTTGTCCTATAACTTTAAGTAAGCATAAACTGACAAAGCAATTACTGAGATGTAATCTGTTAGTAATTCTAGAGGATGAACTTGAGTTATTGAACAGCAAACGAATGATAAGAACCTGACAAATATTTCTGGGCAATCTCCTTCAACAATCAGAATCTTGTAACACTTTTTTTAAAAAAATTGTAACAGGGTCTTTGTCACCCAGACTGCAGTGCAGTGGCATGGACTATGCTCACTGCAGCCTTGAAATCTCAGGCTGAAGCATTTCTCCCACTTCAGCCATCCGAGTAGCTGGGACTACAGGCATGCACCACCATACCTGGCTAATTTCTCTATATTTTGTAGAGATGGGGTTTCACCATGTTGCCCAGGCTGGTCTTGAACTCCTGGGCTCAAGCAATCTACCCATCTCAGCCTCCCAAAGTGCTGAGATTAAAGGCATGAGCCTCCATGCCCAGCATAACTTTTAAAGATTTTTTGAGGTTTGAACAGGGTGATGACAGCCAGGATAAGTTTTCTTTTCACAAATTCTCTAAAAAATTTTTTTTGTTAATTTTTTCTTTTTTTGTGTCTTTTCACAAATTCTTTAAGTGGTGTTATGGTCAATTTATTGTTGAAAGCAATGTTGGCATCTTGTATTTTAGAGCTAAGATTTTTGCACCAAAGTCTTTTTTTCTTTTTTTTTTTTTCTTTTTTTTTTTTCTTTTTTTTTTTTTTTTTTTTTTTTTAAAAAAAAAAACAAGTTTATTAAGGTATAATTGATATACAGAAACTGCACATATTTAATGTATACAATTTGATGAGTTCAGACATATGCATACCCCTGGAAGCCATCACCACAATCAAGGTAATGGTTGTTTTTTTAAATGGAAAAGAAAAACTGTGTTACTCCTTGAAATTGCCTTTTTTGATATGTCAAACACAGTGGCTTAATTGCCAGGATATTTTCAGCTCTGCATCACTGAATTTATTTTACTTTGGGAAAGTTTGATCTGCCCCTGAGCTTACCTATGTCACGCTGCCCAGGTTATTATCTTTGGTTCAACACTGTCGTTATGAAATCTAAGTGTTTTAGATTAGCCAGAGCCCTTGAAAAAGACTTAATGTTGCTTCTTCTGTGTGTGTTTTTTCTCCTTTAAAAACAATCATTTCAATTTTTATTTTAGATTCAGGGTACACGTGCATGTTTGTTACATGGGTATATTGTGTGATGCTGGGGTTTGGGGTACAATTTATGCTGTCACCCAAGTAGTGAGCATGGTACCCAACAGTTTTTCACCCCTTGCCTCGCTTTCCACCCTTTCTCATCTGGTCTCTAGTGTCTGTTGTTACCATCTTTATGTCCATGAATACTCAATGTTTATCTCCCACTTATAGGTGAGAACATGTAGTACTTGCTTTTCCTTTTTTTTTCCCCCTGAGATGGAGTCTCTCTCTGTCGCCAGGCTGGAATGCAGTGTTGTGATTTTGGCCCACCGCAACCTCTGCCTCCTGGGTTCAAGTGATTCTCCCACCTCAGCCTCCCAAAGTAGCTTGGATTACAGGCATGGACCACGCTGCCCAGCTGATTTTTGTATTTTTAGTAGAGACAGGGTTTCACTATGTTGGCCAGGCTGTTCTCAAACTCCTGATCTCAAGTGATCTGCCCACCTTGGCCTCACAAACTGCTGGGATTACAAGCATGAGCTACTGTGCCCATCCAGTATATGGATTTCTGTTCCTGCAATAATCTGCTTATGATGATGGCCTCCAGCTGAACCCATGTTGCTGCAAAGGACATGATTTCATTGTTTTTTATGGCTGAATGTATCAAAGTTTGAAATAAAAATGGGGAGCACTTTGAGCTCCCTTAAGTTACTGTGAATAAGAAGTTCCTCTGCTATAATAGTCCTCCTCAATTAGTATTAATATAGAACAGTAAGCTAGAATGAGCATACTCTCATTTCCTTTTTCCTTCCTTCCTGCCTTCCTGCCTTTCTCTCTCCCTCCCTTCCTCAGAATCTCTGGTGCCCAAGCTGGAGTGCAATGGCCCTATCTCAGCTCACTGCAACATCCACCTCCTGGGTTCAAGTGATTCTTGTGCCTCACCCTTCTGACTAGCTGGAATTACAGGTGCATGTCACCACACCCAGCTAATTTTTGTATTTTTAGTAGAGTCAGGGTCTCACCATGTTGGCCAGGCTGGTCTCAAACCCCTGACCTCAGGTGATCCGCGGACTTTGGTCTCCCCAAGTCCTGGATTACAGGTGAGAGCCATCATGCTTGGCCCTTACTCTCACTTTCTACAGGGTCTTTGTTGTTATGTTGGTAACTTGAATTGGGATATATTATTTTACAAGATTTTTTTTTCTTTTTTTTTTTTTTTTTAAGACGGGGTTTCACCATGTTGGTCAGGCTGGTCTTGAACACCTGACCTCAGGTGATCTGCCCGCTTTGGCCTCCAAAGTGCTTGGATTACAGGCGTGAGCAACCACGCCTGGCCTATTTTATAGTTTTTAATATCAGGTTCAATTCAAGATTCTCCAAATGTATCTCTGGCCCCCACTTGGATTTAAATGATTCCTAGGTATGCTTGTGCATGGTCTGGTCAAAATAATATGCCAATTATCTTCTTAATCTCTCCACAAAAGCAATTGTTTGTGAACTGCTAACCTATGCTGACAGATTACACATGTATTGAGTCCCTCAAACAGACCACTTCTTTAAACCCAGTCAAAACACTGAAAAACCTGAGATTCCCGTGCAATTAACTGCAATTTGATTAGCCTAAAGAAGTATGTAAAGGATGTTTACCTAACATAAAAACTACCAGGTTCAGAGCCTAAATATTTCACAATATAATTTGAAGTGTTTTAATGGCAGTAATTCTGAGCATTCCCAATGAAGCTTACAAGCTTATCATTAGGAAGGTGCTCTTTCTTAAGAGTAGAATGACATAGAGCAGGGGGTTTTAACCTTGGTTCCACATTACAATTGGCTGAGGAGCTTTTAGAAAATATTGATGGCCAGCCCCACCCCTAGTGTATCAAATACTTTTTATGCATTGATGATCATGAAGTTTTAATCAATTATTTTATTATATTGTATATTGACTAATTTTTTATTCTGAAATATACTTGTATTCCTAGGGGTAAATCTTACTTGGTCATGGCATATAATCCTTTTTATATGTCGCTAGATTCAGTTTGGTAGTAGTTTACTGAGAATATTTGTGTTTATATTAATAAGGTATATTGGCTGTACTTTTCATGTGATGTCTTTGGTTTTCATATCGGGACAATAATGACCTCATAAAATAAGTTAGTTTGGAGGTGTTCCCTACTGTTTTATTTTTTTGGAAAAGTTTGTGAATAATTCATGTTCTTCCTTTTTTTTCTTCTTTAATATTTGGTAGAATTTACCACTGAAGCCATCTTGTCCTGAGTTTTCCTTTTAGGAACCTTTTTGATTACTAATCTTTTTAGTTGTTATAGTTTCATTTGTATTTTCTATTTCTTCTTGAGTCAGTTTTGTTGCTTCTGTCTTCCTAGAAATGTATTCATTTTATCTAGCTTATCTAATTTGTTGGCATAAAATTGCTCATAGAATTCCCTTAAAATTCTTTTTATTTCTGTAAATCGGTAGTAATGCACTTTCTTTTGTTCTGGATTTTAGTAATTTGAGTCTTTTCTCTGTTATTCATGGTCAATCTATCTAAAAGTTTCAGTTTTTTTTTTTCAAGGAAGTAATTTTGGTTTTGTTTATTTTCTGTATTGTTTCTCTATTCTCTATTTTATTTAGTTCTGTTCTAATCTTTATTACTTCCTCTATTTTGCTTTTCTATAACTCATTTATGAAGTTTTCTAAGAGTAGGTACTAGTATCGATTTTTATTAAATGCTATTTGGGGGCATCTATATAGGTCCTATGATTTATCCTATTGGCCTATTAGTATAAATTGATTAATAGATTTCCTAATATTAATTTATTCCAGAATTTCTACTAGATTATTGTGGCATAAAGGGAATGAGGGACATTTGTTCTCTTAAATTCCTTTTGTATTTATCAAATATCTGTAGTGAATATATATGATTTTAATGATTAGGAACATATGATTTATATTTTATTTTGAAAAATGATAAAACTATAGAAAAATAATGTGAAGTATCTGATCTGTGTATGGAAAATTTTGATAAAATTGAAGAACATGGAGAAAATCTCAAAGTATTTTATTACATATTAAAAACTCATGTGTCAAGATATATAATAAATAAAATTTAAAGAAAAACTGGGAAAATATGCATATAACAAACAAAAAAAAGCAAAAAACTCAAATTCTTACTCAGTAGGAGCTCCTTAAATGGGAAATGTCCAAAACCATCTTAGTATATAAATAAGC